TGGTCCCGGTCTCAGTCCCTGTCTGGTCCCGGTCTCATGGTCCCGGTCTGGTCCCAGTCTGGTCCCGGTCTGGTCCCGGTCTTGGTCTCGGTCCCAGTCTGGTCCCCAAAAATGTCAAATGTGTTGCATAAAAAAGTTTCCTTCCTCCAAATAAGTAACAAAAGTGTAGCTCTGTCACAAAATTATTTAGTAAAATATAAAAAAAAAATAAAAAATACTCTTGCCAATATATCGACACAGCAACCCACGATATCGATACTGTATCATCACATTAAACGATACGATATATGGACATTTTGATATTTTTGCACACCTCTAGTGGAGGGAGTGCACCAGGCCACAGGGCACTGGAGCCAGAGCCAGAGAGGAGGGTACCTGAGGGGGGCTGCTCAGCTACAGGAGCAGCCAGAGCTCCGGGGGCACGTCCGGGGGCATCGACAGTCGCTGTGGGGGCAACAGGAGATGGAGGATGTTCCTGCAAAGACAGAAAATTATATTTAAAAACTTTGCAGGTACAATTAACTAAAAACAGGTCAGGAGGCGAGACTGGGAGTTAGAAAAAAAACAGGGAAAGGGCAACAGACTGAGCAGAAATATAACAGGAGACACTTGAAGTAGAAGTAATCAAAAGTGTAAAACACGGTTTAAAAATAAGAGTGTTTTTTTAGTTTGAAAGTAAATATGTAATAATGCAGTCATCAGTACTTTTCTTTGCAATTAGTGGGAGGATTTTTGTTATTTTTATGTATTAAGCAGGGAGGGATGCACCGATACCGATACTTGTATCAAATATCTGCGCCAATACTGAAAAATATGCTGTCAGTTCCTGGATATTTTTTTATTAACTGGATGTAATAAGTTTATTTACAGACTGATTTTGGCCTAGAACGTCTCATAATGTTTGAACTTTTATTCATACAAAGCTGTTCTTTAGTTTTTTGAAGCATAAATAAAAAACACCATATGGAAGAGAAAATTATGTTTAAAAACTTTGCAGCTACAATGAACTAAAAACACACAAGATTCTCCTGATCAGTATAATTAAAACAATTGTTCTTAATTTTCGTAACACACACTCAACATATTTTAAATACAGTTATAAGGAAGCACCAACCAACTTTTTATTTTCTGATACCAGTGCTGATACTTTGTCTTTAAGCGTCTGCTGATGCCCGAGAGCAACACAAAAAAATTATCCAAATGTGTTCTGTTACCGCAAAAATGGTTTGTAAAAATATAAGTTTAATCTGTGTTTCATTAGTTCATTCATTTTTCAATATAAAACCAAAAATAAGAAAATGAAAAAACAAATATTTTCTTCATTATTTGTCTCCAAAACCAAAATTAAAAAACAGATAATGATTAGTTTTTCTCAGTTTTCGAATAATGGAAAAGACAGATAACAGCCATTTCCCGTTTACGTGACTTAAACCACGATGCCCGGACTGACCCAGGACCAGACAGGAACCAGACTAGGACTGAGACCAGGACTGAGACCGGGACTGAGACATACCAGGACTGAGGCTGGAACCATACCAGGACCAGACCGTGACTGAGACCAGGACTGAGACTGGGAACAGGACCAGGACGGAGACCAGGACTGAGGCCGGGACCAGACCGTGACTGAGACCGGGACTGAGACTGGAATCGAGACTGAGACCAGACCAGGGCCAGACAAGGATTGAGAACTGGACTGAGATTGGGACCAGACCAGGACTGAAAACGGTTTAGTCCTTGTTCAGTCCATATGTGGCACAAAACCTAAGGCATCACAGTTTATGTCAGGGAAACGGGAATGAGTCTCAGTCCCAATCTGGTCCTGGTCTCAGTCCTGGTCTCAGTCCTGGTCTCAGTCCTGGTCTCAGTCCTGGTCTCAGTCCTGGTCTCAGTCCTGGTATGGTCCCGGCCTGGTCCTGTTCCCAGTCTCAGTCCTGGTCCTGGTCCCGGTCTGAGTCCTGGTCGCAGTCCCAGTCTGGTTCTGGTCATGTCCCGGACCTGGTTTAGTCCTGGTTCAGTCCTGGTTCAGTCCGGCATCTCAGTTTAAGTCACGGAAACAAGAAACGGGTCGTTATCCATTTTTTCCATTTTTCATTTATGCGCAAAATCAAAAACTGAAAAAACGAATCATCATCTGTGTTTTTTTTCCCATTTTGGTTATGGAGACAAATAATGAAGAAAATAGTTGTTTTAAGTTTCTTATTATATTGAAAAATGAATGATACACGGATGAAACGAATGGATTAAGTTTAATATTATGAGACGTTTGGGACCAACATTGCTCAGTAAATCGTCTTTATTATCACCAATTTCTAAACTAAAACGGGACATCAGCTGAACCGATAAGTTGACCAATCCAATCCTACAAAATGTTCTATATGTCAGCACCGATATCTGAAACCAGTATCGTATCGGCGCGTCCCTAAACAACTGCGTGAATGATGTGTTTTGCTTGTGTATTTAGACCCTCGGTAAGTGAACATGCTCGCAGCTCTATCAGCCATTATACGGTCAAGTTGTTTTATTACACCCCAAAGACGTAGTGAATAATATTTGATAAAGGCCAAGGAAATAAAGCTTGAGATTAGCATATAAATTGTACACGTTTATTGAAGAGGCTGAGGCACATGTTTACAGTTGTGAGCGAATACATTACACACCTTGGCAGGGGCCGGAGCCGGAGAGGGAGCAGGTCTCTTCCTCTGAGCGTAGCCAGACAGACGGTAACAGAAGTGCGGTTTGCAGTAAAATTTCCCTGAAGGATAAACAAGAAAAGCAAAACAAATTAGGGAAAAGAACAACAACTGTACATTTGATTTTCTGTCCTGGGAGCATTATGTGAAAGTGCAGCTGTGGTGTAAAACGAGGAGTGAAGAGTGGAGAGACATTCAGACAGAGGGGTCGTGACCGGACGGGTGGAGACCCATGACAATTGTGGAACTTCATGAAGTAAAAGTACTTAAGAACTGTACTTAAGTATACATTTTTCGTATCTGTACTTTGCTTTGCTTTAGTACATTTTAAACTCGATACTTTTTACTTTCACTTCACAACATTTGAGAGCAGGTATTTGTACTTTCTACTCCACTACTTTTTTAAATTTGACTTAAAAGTAAAAATAATTTGGTAACACTTTATAATAACTACACCTTATTTAGCCTTAATAAAGCATGAATAAAGACTTAATTAATAATGAACAAAGACTTAATTAAAAATGATTCATGCTTAGTAAATGTTTAATAAAGGATAATTAGTCTTCACTTAACAGCTGCCTGAATTATCATTGCATTGCAATATTAGTAAATAATTTTCTCATAGTTTACTAATGATTAATAAATGTTCAAATGGTTAGTTCATGAGTAATTAAGTATGAAATAATGAGTAACTATTTACAGCACAGGCAAATTGCAAGTGCAAGTGCAAATTAAGGTAGTAATTAAGTAGTTACTAAGCGTGAATCATTATTAATTAAGTCTTTGTTCATTATTAATTAAGTCTTTGTTCATGCTTTATTAAGGCTAAATAAGGTGTAGTTATTATAAAGTGTTACCAATAATTTTATATCATAATCTGAGAGTAGCTGTGGGGTTTATGTTTAGCAAATTCCTAGTCTGAGCAAATAAAAATATATAAATAAAAACAGCTTAAAAAAAAACAACAACTATAAATTCAATAGTTTCTGAACAAAATTCAGCACAAATCTGTATCAAAAATGTAATTATTTGAAGCTTCATAAGACTTGAAAATATGCGTGGAATACTTTTTACTTTAAGGTTTACTCTTTATACATATTTTTAATGGGTACTTCAGTAATCTAAAGTGATACATTTAATTTTACTTGAGTATTTGTTTCGCTCCGGAGGCCTACCTGTACTCAGTGTTGGGAAGGTGACTTTTAAAATGTATTCCCCTACAGATTACAGATTACACACCCCAAAATGTAGTTTGTAACGTAATCCATTAAATTAATTAAAGTGAGTAACGTAATCTGAATACTTTGGATTACTTGATTTGCTGTAGAGTAGCAAATACTCGGATATCATAACATAAGATATTTTGTCTGATAAAAGAAAATAAAAAGCCCAAACTTTACTTAACCAAATTAAAAAGAGTATTGATAGAAGAAGTTTAGTCTTCTTAAATCCTGTTTGAGACATAGTTTAGACCTGGTTTTAGTCCTGGTTTAGTTCTGGTTTAGTCCTAGTTTAGACCTAGTTTAGACCGGGTTTTAGACCTGGTTTAGACCTGGTTTGGACCTGGTTTAGTCCTGGTTTAATTCTAGTTTAGACCTAGTTTAGACCTGGTTTTAGACCTGGTTTAGACTTGGTTTAGACATGGTTTAGAACTGGTTTGGACCTGGGTTTAGACCTGGTTTAGACCTGGTTTAGACCTGGTTTAGACCTGGTTTTAACGTAGACCAGGTTTAGTGCCCGGCAATGAGTGGAATTACAAAAAAAAAAAAGGGATTTAGTCCAAAATGTGAAAACAGGATTATACCTCTGTGTAATCCATTTATTTCAATCAAGTAACTGTAATCCAATTACAACTCACTTAAACAGTAACTGTAACTGAATACAGTTACTCATAATTTGTACTCTGATTACGTAACTCCAGTACATGTAATCTGTTACTCCCCAACACTGCCTGTACTTTAACTTATGCAAGAAACCTGAGTACTTCTTCTCCACTGGAAACATAGTTAAGTTATTTCAATTGGACTTAATATCTATACTTACTATAATAGTGTACACAGGGTTGGACAAAATGCCAAAACATTAAAATATTTTTTTTGTGATTATGATTATGATTTTAATTTATTTCAATTGATTTAAAATGATATCAAACCAAATCAATAGCGACTGTTAAACTTTAAAACAGGGGGAGCTCATTACAGTTTCATCTTTATCATATTTTACTATTTTAGCAACTGTAAACTGCCTTTAATTACACAGATATGTAATCTAATTAAGCTTCTGCACATTAACTCTGCTCTGCTAATAAGAACGTCAGGAGTAAAACTTGTATCACAACAAACCTCCATTTCATAAACACAAAATTGTCTAATTAATTTGAATCACTGCCCAGAACTAAGTGTAATATTCTTATAATTGCAGAAACTCAGATCATGTACATCCCTCCTCCAAAACAATCAGAAAATTGCAAATGTCAACAAAAGAATGAAAGTCAAATAGGCTCATTTAAATCCACTTAGTCAAATCAAACTTAATTGATTGTGTAATTCTGAGGCTCTTGTGTTGTTGGTTTTTTTAATGTTGTAATTGCTTCATTACCACAGACTGTATAAAGAAGTGGACTGAGGGACCATCGTGAAGTCAGCCATAGCATTTGGTTCCAGCCAAATGAAGCTCATCGAGGCTGCAGCTATAGGGCAAATTTGGTGCAGAGTTCCAATATTAGGAATACGAATTTATGTACATACAAAATAGCGAAATAAAAACACCAGGATCATGTAGAGCGGGTTAATATGAATATTTTAAGACCAAAATGAGGAGCTGGACAGTAGAAGTTGCAGAGAGATGGGTGACATTTCAAAAATACAAAGTGAATTGGAGCCAGAAGCGTGCCCATGCTCACTTCTTATTTGGAACACGGAAAGATCTTAAATTGGAATTTATGGAGTCACTTGATAAGTTAAAAAAATTGTAAAAAGTGCAGTCATCGAGACATGTATGTGCATGTTTGTGTATGTTTTTCTTGAGAGATGTAAATGGGTTTATAACGTTATATTTTGTGATTTTACTGTTTTGTACATCATCAGAAACAGACCCGGAGTTGTGTTTTGTTTCATTCACATGTTTGAGTAATTCTTTATTATTAGTCTGTCTACATCTTCAAAGCTCAAAATGCTCTGTTCCACCTTGTGATGTCATGAAGCAGTAATTTTCAAGTTAGCAGCTACCTTTTACTAGCCTGATTCATCAGCCGATTTCACTTCACAGAAATCATCTGACCTCGCAGCATTAGGATTCGTTCACTCGACGGTAGGCAGGTACTTTTTAATTATAACCAATCCCTGCTATTTGGTTGTGACATATATAATGCGCCAAATCCCGTAGGAAGAAGGGCAATAACGTCTTTCCTCTTGATAAAATTCACCAAACATTCTCTTTGTTCCAGCTTTAAATCCTCGATCTCGGGAATCGTTGCCAACACAGAATGTCTGTCTTCATCTACATCCATCTCGACCGCTTTGTTTACTATTGTGCTGTTCCACAAAAGGGACCCAGACAAACGCGACAAGTTTGATGTCATGGCTTCACAGCTCTTCGCTGAAGTCTACAACTTCCGGGGTTCTTGCAAACCATCTAGTGCAGGGGTGTCAAACTCATTTTGGTCTGGGGGCCGTATCCAACCAACTGGATCAGAAAACTCATGGCATATAAACCCCAAAAATAACAATAAGATCAAATATTAATATTTTATAATATTAAATAAATGCAAATCTATTACAGAAATCTATTACAAAACTCTTTCTTTTACAAAATATTATAATATTATGAACAACCTGAAACTTTAAGAAAAATATAATTTCAACACAATGTTTTAACATGAACTTGTATGTAAACAGGAATAAGTAAATTTTTCTTGTAAAATTCTGCACTTGGCTCCACTTTCCTCATTTGTGACATTTTTCTGATGAGGGTGTCACGGTCAACAGTCAAAACGATCGTTCTTTAAGAGCGTTTGGAAAGAGACAAGTCTTCATTTGTGCTGCTCTGGTGGGAGGGGCCACGTACAGAGACACTGGAGACGCTGCTGTGATAAACACCGCAGAAAATTACCAATATTTTAATAGAAAATATAATTAAAATATTTTAGTAGAAAATCAGCCGAGGGCCAGATTAAAGGTCTTGGAGGGCCGGATCTGGCCCCGGGGCCGCATGTTTGACACCTGTGATCTAGTGTATTCTGATTCCTGACCTCTGATTCCTGATGATCTTTACTTGTTTAGAAAAGATCGTCAATTCCTGAACTGAAATTATGTGTATTAAGTTTAAAAACACATTGGAGCACTTCCTGTATTACCGCCTGACATCACAAGGTGAAGCAGAGTGTTTTCTGCTTGAGAGAAGAACCTAAATATGCAGGGGTTGTGTGTTAAACATGAGTGAACAGAGCACTAACTCCTAACGATAACCCTTCAATTAAAAGGTCCTATATTTTGCAAAATTGACTCTTGTCTTCAAATCTATGTTATAATGTTGTTTCCTCGTCAAAAACATACCTGGAGTCGACTAGAAAAGTTACATAGTGCACATTTAAGACAAAGACGGAGCACTTTGTCTGGCTCTTACCGTCTTCCACATCGAAGGCGTAGGATGAGAGTCTCAGGGTGGTCCCGCAGTAGTCGCACTTAAAACAGCTGCGATGGAAGAACTTTCCCTCTGCACTCAGCCGCTCCATCACATACACGCGCTTACGGCAGAAGAAACACACATCACTGCCTCCGATGTTGACGGGGAACTCTTTTCTGAGCGAGCCCTGTGGAAAAACAAAAGAGATAAAAGTCAGACTTATGTAAGATATGAGTCTGTTTCAGGGGAGGGGATGGAAAAGGCTGCAGCTAACGATTATTTTAGTAGTTTAGTGTTTTGGTAGTCGTCTAGTCGGTGATTTTTATGGATAAGTCGGCAAGTAAAACGATTCTTTTTACTGAAGGTGCATTGAGTAGCTTTTCTTTTGAAAGGCCTGTCAAATGCTTTTCTTCATGGAGATGTTATTGTTTTGTCTGAAAGGTTTCACAGTATGGTGTTTAACTTTTCTTCATGGAGACCAAACCAGACCAAGTTACAGTGCAGGTTTATGTCGGTATTTTTGAGCCATAAAACCACCATGTAATAATGTCATACTCTGGAACATTTCAGAGCAATGACATCTCCATAGAAACAAGCAGGTGTCGAACCCTCCACCAGAAAGGCTACACAATGCAGCTTCAAGACTTATAACACATTTATTATTTCGTTTTACCAAATACATGTACAAATTAGACAACGATGAGTCAAAATTACCGTATTTTTCTGACTGTAAGTGGCACTTTTTTTCATGGTTTGGGTGGTCCTGTGAGTTATACTGTGGTGCAACTTCTTTATATATTAAAATTTTCACTCTGAGAGCCGCGAGATTCTTTAGTCTTGTGTGTCAGTATCTGCTGTTCCTCCTGTACCACTGTCACTTGGCTCTACTGCGCATGTCTCCTGCAGAAACAGCCTCTGTCCTGCTGTAAGTCGTGAAATATTCAGCCGAAAATGGTAATAGAGCGGCAGAAAGAAAATTCAGATTGAGCGGGAAACTTGTGACACCGTGAGCGTGCACCCTGCAACTTTCCTGAAGTCACTGGATGGATGGACAAAGCCTGGACTTCAGTGACACCGAAACCATCCTGTTGGGATTCAGAAATGCCAAAATAATTCTAACTGGAACTGTTGCTGAGTCTGACGACAGCTACACAGAAGAGGAAGCGGCGCTCTGTTTACCTCCAGAGGTTGCGGAGTTGCTTAGAAGTGACACAGAGGATGAAGAATTCAATGGATTTAGTGATTTGGAGTGAGATGGGGAGGGTTCATGGTTTGGGTGGTCCTGCGACTTATAATATATAAGTCGCACCGGAGTATAATTTTCAGACTAACAGCCATGAGCGTGTCTTCTGCAGAAAAAGCCACTGTCTTGCTGCAAGTAGTGAAATATGCAGCAGAAAACGGTAACTGAGCAGCAGAAAGAAAGTTTCGAGTGAGCGAGAAACTTGTGAGGGACTGGCGGAAAGTGGGAATGGAGAACACAGCTTCACGGCAACTGGGAGGGTGCGCCATGCCTGGACTTCAGTGACAATCAAAGCGCTCAGAGTTGCTTAGAAGTTGCACAGCGGATGGATTCAATGGATTTAGTGATTTGGAGAGAGATCGAGAGTTTGGGAAACTTATGTTCTGTTGTTTATGCTATAGTTATCTGAAAAACTGTTAATATGTTACGTTAACATATATAACGCCTATAACTTGCCTTTCCAGATGAAATGTCGGTGCGTCGTCTCTGATTTTATAAACTAAATTTCCCCCAAAAAGTGCGACTTATAGTCCGGTGTGACTTATATATGTTTTTTTCTTCTTCATGCATTTTTTGGCTGGTGTGATTCATACTCCGAAGCGACTTATAGTTCAAAAAATACAGTATTGTAGTTCATTCTTTACCATTTGGGTTTAAAGTAGAACTAAAACTCACTTTATTCACTACTAACAGGTTTGTTTAACAGGTTAGGTCATTTTGTTAAATTATAATTTGACAACTTTCATTTATCTTGTGTATTTAGAATCTTCTGGTAACCAGCAGTGGTGGTTACCCTCTGCTCTTCCCCAAGATACTTAACTGTCTGTAAATGGAGTTCTCTGTAATTTTCTTATATTTTTGGTAAACGTACGCCTACATTCATGTGCTTTCTGGTCAAAAACGCCTGCATCTAAGCTTGCTGCTGCCTTCAGTGTCCGCTGCAATTTCCAGTAGTTGGTGACATCACAAAAGACTGCCCTGATTTCAGACAGATGTTTCAGATGACCAACATCTGGCTACAAGTGCGGATCAATCACATGGTTCCGGTTCCTCATACTCGTTCTTTAGTCCACAGGTACTACCCAGTTTAGCAGCTCAGTTTGAAATGTGGTTTTGAGCAGAGTTTAGGTGTTTAGTCCCACTTAAATAACGCTCCCATCTTTGTTATAAAACTCCTTTTGTCATGTTCTTTAGAGTCTGTATACCTCCGATAACAATTAACCATCATTAAAACAGTGATGATTGATTATTTTAATAGTCAATTAGTCCCAGTCTGATTTGTCACGATGATTAATTGTTGCAGCCCCAGTAATTAAGACACAAAACAACTGCTGGGTTCAGTAGTTACACAGAATAAAGTTCACACAGATCAGAACACTGTATTAGCAACAATAGGAATTAATACTGAGGGAACCACAATCCAACTACTGTATAACCTCTGTAACTTCTTACCCAGGCCTGTCAGGATACTTACTACATTGACATATTATTCAAAATATCATAGAAAGAGCTATATTTTTAAGGCTCAGTTATTATTATGTACTTTTTATTACTTTTTGTTAGTGTTTATGATAACATTTGAGCTGTAGTTGGTTGGGATTTAACAATAACTGGAATATCGCAATGTTGTATCGTCAAAGCTCTCACAATAATATTGAGGGCCATCACAATACCGTATTTTTCGGACTATAAGGCGCACTTAAATTCCTTTAATTTACTCAAAAATTGACTAATTTCTCATTTCTTTTTTACTTATATTTTTTGTATGTGGTTGGCTTTTTTTTTTTTTTTTTTTTAAAATATATATGTATACACGTATGTGGATGTGTTAATGTGTAAACATATATATATATGTATATGTAGGTATATGTGTATAGGAATGTATGTATAGGGGTGTATGTACATATGTAGATGGATACGTATGCATATGTGTATGTGTATATATGTGTGTCTAGGTATGACGTATAGGTATAATATTTATTGTTTGGTTGGGGAGTGGGAAGGACAAAGACAACTTATTATTTTGCTTTAATAAAAAAAAAATAAAAAATAAATAAATAAATTGACTAACAATCCAGTGTGCCTTATGTATAAATTCTGGTTGTGCTGACTGACCTCGAACCGATTTTATGTGGTACACAAAGCTCAAAAATCTGTCACAATGTTTTAGTACGACTTTGGTAAACTATGAAGCCGCACCGCTTGATGGATTGCCAGAGCATTACGGCGACTGTAGTCAGGAGCCTCGTGGAGTAAGTCCGACAAAAGCTGACCACATCAGAACACATGGAGCGAGCTGTTTTTTTCAGCGCTTATAGTTTATGCAAATGAGCCATGTGGTTTTAAGTTTTGGTTCTTTAAAACAGGGGTCTCCAACAGTTTTTCCTCCAGTGAGCTACTTTTACATTACAAAACTGCCACAGAGCTACCTATTTTAGTAGTCGCAAAGAAATTGACCCTAACCCTAAACATAAGTGTCTCAGCAAGCCTTAGACAAGCCTTACAATGGTGATTAATCAAACTTTACTTATTCAGCACATACAGAAATCCCTTGGTAAGATACTCTGAAGTAGGTGGAGAGCTACTGGTTGCTCCTGAGCTAGAGGTTGGAGACTCCTGCTTTAAAACAAATAAATGCCAAAGCTGCATTAACCACAATATTACTCAATGTATATTTGACTCGTCCTCGTAGGAAATAAAAAAAAAAAAAAAAACTTAAATTCTCCACCCACATTCACATTCATAATACACATTCACCAAGACGGGGAGGCAACGCCGGGCGAATTACGCCACAATCTGCCAATGGATCGTGGATGCCTGGGCTAAGGGATCAGTCTCAAGAGTCGTCCGATTGTTTTGCTTAATGCGCCTTATAATATGGTGCGCTTTATGTATGAAAATAGACGAAAAAATTCAACATTATTGATATTGCGCCTCATAATCCGAAAAATACGGTATATCGAATTACATGTCTCTTCACTTAAATTAATAGTTATGGTTCAGTAAAAGCTAAAAATACAGAGGGAACTACATAGACCATGATCCTTTGCTCTGGTTCAGTGCAGACTACATGAAGAAATAACTGTTATTAAATTACTTTTAAAGCTTAATTCATCGGGTTAAGTCTTGTCAAGGCATTTTAAGAAGAAAAAGTATCATATTCAAAGTTTTATACACCACCGGTCAAAAGTTTGAATGAGATCGTGTGCCCAAACTTTTAATTAGTAGTGCAGATACTAGAATTAACAACAAAGTGCTTAATTGCTGGACACATTTTTACAGTAAGAGATAGAAGTAGTTTCAATATTATCATCCATCGGGGTATGTTTCTGTAGCAAGTTATCGTGACAGGCCTATTCTTACCAAATCCTTTTTCTCAGGTATGGTCTTGGCGTCTTGCTGTGACTGAAGCTGATTGGCTAACTGCTCAGCCAATGAGCTTACACCGCCTGTATACATCCGCACACATCGCTACGGGCAGTATGGAAAAGAAAAGAGGGGGGAAAAAAAGATGGACAGACATTAGGAAATCAAGACGAAAAAGAAAAAACAGAAGTGGTTAAAACGGGAGAGTGGAGGAAAAACGTGGTTCAAAAGAGTGTGTTCACAAACAGGAGTCGGACAGTTAGACGTGACAGAGGGACTTTTACATGCTCCACACTTAAAACGATGCAGCCACACCCACGGACAACCAACACACAAACAATCCAAGGCAAAAAATAAAATAAAAGTTCTTCAAATTTGAATTTTAGGAGTCAAATTCAACATTTCTGAAAACAGTAATTACACTTTTAATAGTCTTAATAAAGCATGAACAATTATTTAATTCACAATAAACAGTTTATTAAAGGTGCGTTGGAGGTCAATCTGTGTATCATTCGTTCATTTGTTTTTCGATATAAAACCAAAAATAAGAAAACAAACAACACTATTTTCTTCTTTAT